CCCGGCAGAGACAGCGACGCGGCGCCCGTGCGCGCTCGGCGTGAGCGAGGGCCTCGCTGCTCGCAGGCTCTGCCGCCGCTAGGAACTGCCGGTTCACCGGGGGAGAGCGCGGGGCGGCGGCGCTCCCAGCAAGGCACAGGTCAGCACGCGGAGCCCCCGCGACGGCACCGAGGAGGGGCAGGCAGGCAAGGAGGATGGAGGATACATCCCACAACCGTTACAGCGTCAACAGTGGAAATTCTAGAGCCAAATCCTCCTCACCAGCTCTATGCCCCAGTTTATCAAGGCACTGTGGAAGTGGTTGGCTGTGCTTGTTAGTAATTTATGACAGGAGTGTCTTAAGGCAACCAGGTAAAGTTAGCTAACATTTCAGTAATCAAAACAGTTTTGCTTTAAACAGCAGTAAACAGGCTGAAAGTACAGCAGGTTTGAAGTGGAGAAGCTGAAGATGGGCACCTTCAGTTGATTTGAGTTTCTTCTCGTAACTCATGAAGTCACACTCCAGACTACAAAAAGAAGACAAAAGTTGGACAAAGGATAGTCTCTTACAGCCCCTCGCCACAATGATCCTGCATTTTAAGAATTGAAGAGACTAGAGATAGGCAAAGAAGGATTTAAGAGTCTCCCATGTTGGTTTTCCTAGTTGTGGTTTTCCTTTGTGCTTGCACACTGATGTTTCTCACCCAGGACTATGTATCTGTTGCCAATGGTTACTGTGGCATTTGTCACTGTATTATAGCACAAACTTCAATGTTGTCCTCCAATGAAATACTTGGGAATTACATGAGAATTCAAACCAAAGACTGAACTATATGCTCCTGGCTTGCTATCCTGACCCAACATTAGCATCACTTCACCCAGTGGCAAAGTCTCTGCTTGAAAAAAGCCCACCTACTATGGCAGTGCACTTGGAACTGCCACACTGAAAAGGATTCATCTAGCAAGAAGCTGGGGCAGATGAAAACCAGTCCTCAGACAAGGGAGGCATATGGTATTTCTCCTTACACTTCTGCAACATGCAGCTGTAGAAACCAGGAACAACCTTGGGTTTTTAAGTCCTGGCCATCTTCACTTTCACCTGTTTCACTCTGCACAGGTGCCTGAGACTCAGCTAGCAGAGCTCCCACAGGGGTCACAGTTTACCACTCACTGCAGGCAATGGTTGTTAAAGCAGTCACTGCTATTTCGAATTCATGTTGTATGTATTCTCATTTGAGTATCCTGGCTTTATTTAAACTATACCAGTGAATTAACACCATCTATTCCAACTCTATGAGAAATCCCCATTTTGGTGAAACTTACCAATAATGATGATGATGATAATGAGAACAACAGCTATCAATATTGCCCACATCTGTGAAAAAAGCCATACAACACTTACTACAAACCATGCAGCAGCATTAACTGGCCTTGAGGGTACAGGAAAGCAGCCCCTGCAAGGTACTTCTGCACCATGTGCTAGATCTAACACGGCAAGCAAAACTTCCTCAGTAAGCAAGCTTGATCCACCATTACCACTCAGAGATGGCAGGCTGTGCACACAGGCAAAGCAGACTGTCAGGTTCTTTTCCATTGTGGCTCCATGCAAAGCCTATCTCAGGTGACTATACAATGAGGAGTAAAGAACTATTAAATATCATTTCTACTCTTACCCTATACTACATCTTTCACTGTCTCTGTTGCTGACCAAAGAAGATTCCAACCTTTGCCAACAGCTACAAGTACAGGAGCCTGAGTGAACTCCTTCTAAAACTTCCCGCACATTAACTCAACCTATGCATTTTTGGCCTTTTTCTTCCTGTTCCCCAAAGCCTCAGATTACTGAGGTGTTCCCCTCTGGCCATTACCATCTTTTAGAGAAGGCCTCGCGTCAAGCAGCATGGCTGGTAATTCAGCTCTTGGTTACTTCACCTAACCACTATGCCATGTTTTAAAAATAGATGCTATAACTTAAATAACATTGGCTAAAGTAACTTCTGCTTCTGCCTTTTGAGATGCCAACTGTAATAGTGTTAGCTGCAATACTGCACAGTGTAAGTATACAAGCCACGGTTACCTTACAGTTCTTCCACCAATACTTTCTTTTCAGCTTGGCTGCACTGGTCTCAAACTGGGAAGCTCCTGCTTGCAGTGCATCAGCACGGTCATCCAACTCTGACAGCTTCTGATCTCGCTCCAATACCTTGTCCACATTCACTCTCATGATGTCAACAACCTACATCAGTTTAATGCTTACAGTAAGTTATCAATCATACCACCCACTGTGGAGCTTAACTGCAGGCAACAGATAGCAACACATGATACTCTTAATGTTCTCTTCTCAGAAGTAAGAGCTATTGCCTTTTAGTATATCCAGTCATAAGCTTAAACTAAACCATAAAATTCCCCTGCGGCTGGAAGCCCCTAATACCTACTTTAAGATGTCAGTAGTGCCAGTTGTGCTGGCATTCCCTTAATCCTGGGAAATAATTCCTGACTTGCTTCAGAAAGAGTTGAGGCATATAAACATGATAGTCAACCATGTGTCAAAAAACACTGTTGGTAGCCAGCCTGGCTTTTGGACTCCCCAGGAATCTGGACATGTCATATTTAGTGGTCAGCCTTCATTGTTACTGATGAGAGAAAGGCTTGTTCTCTGTAAGAACAAAGGTTTTTATCTTTACTTATGCCAAATCCTCAAGCACCAACTTTGCAGCTAATGTTTGGACATTGATAACTTCTCTCTACTTCCCCACTCCAGCTGAATGGATTTTCTTTTTTTTAAACCTTTGCAAGAGTTAAGATTACACAAGTATAACAAAGCAAGCTGAATGATACTAGGGATCCCATATAATGAAGGGGAAACTGCTTTGGCCAAAATATCCCTTTAGTTATATAGGTTTCCTGAAAGAAAATGATTACACTGCTATCAGACTAGACTTTTACCTCATCTACTTGGTGTTGAGTCTGCTGAAGACGACGATTACTGCCAGCAGCCGCATTTGAGCTTCCAGTGCTACTGGCTGACCTGCAGTAAAGAAAGTCATTGTTATTCTGTTTAGCTTTTGATAGGCTGTAGTTTTGGTTTTAAGTGGATATGCTTAGAGTACACAAGTTATCCGATATTCCTGAAAACAGGGAACTTTTATCCTTGGAATAAACACGGGGCAGTTTCCTACTGGAGAAGTGATGTTTTAACAGCTGACAACAGGTGTAAATCATGCAGCATCCCAACATCTTGCCAACAAAATGCTCGTTGTGGTAAAAGATGGCAGTGGCTTGCTAATACTATAGTTTACAATGAGGCATATGACAACTCCTACAATGGTTCATAGGTTTCAAACATTCAAGAACTTGGGCTCAGGAGTGCTCTTGTTTTCCAATATGAGCACAAATACTAAGCTTCAAGCTACAGTAGTTTACAAACAATTAAATACAGAAACTTAATGGTTATTCTAACTATGTGCTCTTCCAGTGGTTGCCTCTGTCTCTATTCTTTTAAAACAGCTGACATGGAGCAAGACAAAGCACAAGAAGGAAAAAGCATTCAGCATATACAACAATTTACCTCTGGTCAGCTTTGAATTCATAACCTCAGGCAGTCGAGTTCCTCTTACCAGCTGTAACACTGCATCTTTGTAACGGATGCAAGAGCCTATGTACATACTTCTCACACCCCTTTCACTCCTTTACCAAGTGTTTGTTCCATATCTCTAGAACTAGCTGTACTCAATTTGCTTTTCCATGTTTTCATTTCTTCTGCATCAGAAGCACATACTGTTTAGTGCATCCTGATACTCAAAAGAGCTGCATCTAAGTATTGGCCGTATTTACACATTTGCACATTGACTTCTAATTTACATTTAGCGAGAACAAATGCATACATGCACAACAAGCAAACCAGAAAGCCTATGACAAGGCTCAAGAGGGGTCCGTGTATAACACAATATAACTGCTCCTCTGTTTTGGCACTTAAGTCGCCCTTTCATACTGTTTCACTGCTGTTCCCAGACTGAAGAGTCTCGGAAATGAGACCTCTTCCTGAGAGCAGAGGTTCCAAACACAACAACACACCAGTCACCAGAAAGCTCGCTCTCAGTGCTCTCGCTACGTGGGCGGTGCTTTCAGAGAGACGCCTAGGGCTGGCAGAACTCCGCCTAGGTGGCCACAGAGCCACCAGAACAGGGCAGCCCGCCCGAGCAGAAGCCCAACGCCCTGGTACCCGGCCCGAGCGGCAGCTCAGGGCGTGCGGCCCGAGTGACGGCCAGGCTCGGCCTCCCGCCACCGGCCGCGCCCC